GCTTTATTTCTTGGGGCACGCAGGCTGCAATCGCAGAATTAGAACCTTATTGGGATCCTTGAGTCGGGGTGGAGGCCATGAGAAAAAAAAAAAAAATGACCCCTTAGTAATTGGGGGCTGAAGCGGGAGTGGGGTGTGGCCGCCGAGGAATAGTGGCCTGGATGAGACCCCAAGAGCGGAGTCCTGGCTACTAGGGAAATGGGAGGGGGTATGAAAATTTTTGTGGGGACGATGTATGCAACTTGCTTTACTCAACAATTTACTAAATACTGAACATTAGTGGGTGTAATTTTTTAAAACTCTTGGATTGTGGTTTAACTTTTGCTTAAAATATCGGCCCGTTAAATGACCTTTTCACCTATATACTTAGGAGACCTACATGCGCATTTCTTCTTGTGCTGTGGTCTCTCATTGTTATAAACAGACGAAGGAATTTATTTGGCATTCTTTATACTCTACGCCCTGCATTTTCCAGCATAGTCTCCATCTTAACCATCCATCAATAATCAAGTTTATTTTTGACAAACTAGACATGTTTGTCCTTCAGAAATTAAGATCATGCATACCTCTTTTTAAATTGCTTAACTACTGTATACTTCGTTGTGCACGCACTATTCGCCACTCATCAGAAACAGAAGCAGCAACGTATACATAGTTTCTCTGCAATTTTTTAAATTCTAAATTTGGATTTAGAAAAATTGTGGGTTATTTTGAGGAGATTGTATTTTATTTTCATTTTGGGGAATCTTAACGGGAAGATACAGGAACTCTCCACCCTCCATTTCCTTACTGGTGAATCATTATGGTGGCATCTTAGATTGCATCTTAGATTAGTGAAGCAGATAACTCACACAACATACATATGAAGAGCTGTCTGCTCAGTGTTTAGAGATACAAGGGTGAAAAATATTATGCATCAGGGATCTTAACACTATTTTAACGCAATTATTTTCTCTTAAGCCAATTTGTATTTCAACTAAATAGAATAGAGTAGGCATATCATTAACATTTAATGTTTCAGTACTGTACCTCATCAAATTCTTATAAAACAGATCATCCCAATGTGGAATCTAATGTAAAACTGGCCCAGGCAGGACAATTTTAGGAGACTTGGATTCTCATAAAATCTTTGTAGCATATTAATTTTTTAAATGCATATTCTTCAGTGATCATTCTCATACTTAAACCTATATTTGACAATAATTGATCATAAGATATCAAGGAGATGTTTATATTCTTTTTTTTGGAACCTTGCTAAAGAAATCACAAAAGTGGTAATATAACTGATTACTTCCTTTTAATCAACTTTAATCTCCTTTCCCCATCAGTTGTTAATCATTTAGAACATTAAGAAGG